GGTTATCTAAGCAGAAAAAAAAGTTTTACATAGAAAAACTAAAAATTTTGATATTAGTATATAGAAAACTTTTTTTTGTACTAAGATAACCTTTTTGATCCTCTAATAGGAGTTGTTCAAAGTATAATTTTATATATATTTTTTGTTTTAAAACTGTCAAATTTTTTCTTTTGTCAAAGTTACATTTTTAAATTGTATAAAAATTGCAAAATTTTATATAATGTATTTATTCATAAAATTTAATTTAAAGTTAATATGTAAGGAAAGAAACATTACAGCTTTAAAGTTTATAAGTAATTCTATATGTTTTGTTATAATTTTATATATATAAAATTTAGATGTGACAAATTGGTTGACTGTTATAATGTAACTGTACATTAGCTTTGATCTAATAAAGATACCAGCGAGGCTGTCAATAAAGAAAAAAAAAAAAAAAAATAAACTTAAACTATTAGTTATTAGAAAGTCACCAAAACCATGATGTTTCCAGAAGAAAAATCTTGGTGTAAAATATGATGCTAGTAAAAAAGTATAGATGACAAGTAACATTTTTGAGCATTAGATAAAATCTCTAAATAATGTATATTGGTTAAACCATAGAAAAATTCTTTTGCTAATCAATGATGCTTTATTATATCTAAAAAGTTATGACTTTTCTTATATTAAACTACATTTTTTACTACCTTATATGATATCTTGGTTGCAACTATACATGCCACTGAAATAGGTTTTCAAAAAACTTCTATTTCGTCTCCATTAGAATAATTTGAAATTTTTTATATGCAATAGCAAATCTAATTTAGGTAGTTATGTTCCTTATAATTTCGTCTCTTCAAAAAAAGTGTTAAAAAATTTCATCTTTTAAGTAAAGTAGATCAAAAACAATTTCGTCTTTAAATTTTAATTTCATACTCTGAAACCTAAAATAATTTCATCAGCATGTATAGTTGCAACTATGTGATACTGAAATTATTAATTTGTTAAAGCTTATTATCATAAATTATTTCTTCAAAATCTAGTAGATGCTCTTAATAATAAATAGAAATACCTAAACTTAGTATCTTATATACAATCAAGTTCATTACAGATAAGGATGTTAAAATTATAATAATTTATCTATAAAAATTACATAAAATTTGATTTATTAAAATTTATGTAAAATTACATGTACTGTAAAATTGTAATTTACATAATACAATCCTAATTACAAAAGTATAAAACAACATAAATCTTGGACAATTATTAACTACTAGAGAAAGATCCAAATAGTATCAATTAATGAATGAAATTGGTCAAATTTGAATGTGACGAATAGAATTAGAAATGAAATAGAATTCGAAATCGAAATAAAAGATGAAGCTGAAGAAGTTAAAGCCGAAGTTGAAGAAGACAAAGTTGAAGAAGATGAAGTTAGAGAAGCTGAAGTTGAAAAAACTGAAGTTAAAGAAGCCGAAATCGAAGTTGAAGAAGAGGTTGAACAACTTATTTTTAAAATTACCTCTTATCTTATATGAATAATAGCTGCTAGTAATTATATTCAGGTTGATAATAATCTTAAAACAGAAGAGGTTACTATTGATGAAGCTGCTATTATCGAAAAAATATACTATCATTTTGAATTCAGTAATAGTGATAAAGATAGTGTTGTTAAAATTAAGAAAATTTCTTATTCTGTCACTTTGAATAAATGCAAATCATTTATACTATATATAGAACAACAGGGCCTCATAAAATTCATAGAAGACCAAGATCTACCAGTATTATGAAACTTGTTAAAATAAATTTGACTAAATATATTCAATTAAAGAAGCAAAAAAAGTTAACTAAGTTTTTCTAAGGCATTGGTTATAGAAAAAGTAGATTAGTTCAAAGCTACAAAAAGAAATTAACAATTAGATATATAGTTATAGAAGAACATATCACAATTTTTTTTTTTGTTTTATTCTTTTTTTTGAACATTGTTATATGGTGTCCTGTATATTTTGTATACCTTCCTCTAAATCTAAAAATTTTGGCTATGAAACCACCTATAGAGGTATTAAGCAAAAAAATTTCTTATTAAAATTTTACTATAACTATGTTATATTCTAATCTCTAGCCTTTACCCTTATCTACAAAGTGTATTTAAAATTTTTTCTTTTTTCTTTTGTTTTTTTTTATATTTGCTGCTCTTCTATTATCTATAATTTATAATAATAAAAAGATAAAGTGAGTATACATTATACTTATTAATTTATAAAATATATAATATTCATTCATTTTTTTTGTTCTTATAAACCAGTTAATAAAAAAAAAGAAAATTCAAATTACAAATGAAATCTCTTATATAAAAAATCTAAAATTGATTAAATTGGTGATTATCTTAATTATATGTGATTTTATAATAGAGAACCAAAATTCAGGTACAAAAAATAAGCAATATGATATATTAATATAAAATTCATTTGAAATAACAAAAAGATATAAATAAATAAAGAATACCAGCTACTTACAAGAATATCTATTTTTTAGCTCAGTATCAAGTAAAGTTGACAAAATTCCAAAACTTAAGAGTTTTACAAAATAATGTTTGAACATTTGATAATCATTATGTAAGATGTCATGAGGTAATATCCTGGGCTATCAGTTCACGACAATTTTATGCGTAATGTACTATGATGCGAAAAGCTTTAAATCTCCATAAAAAATAACTTTACAAAAAATGCTTCTTCTCTTTAAAAAATATATAAAATATAAATCTAATTCACAAGATTAGTTCTTTTTACCTTTAAGAACAAAACTTGTAATTTAAATTTAAATTTAAATCTAAACTGATAGAGCATTTTAAAGTTTGACTATTTATTAAGAAATTGTAAAAAAGTGAACGTATATATTTTCTCTTTTTAACCAATCAGATTACCTTATACAGACTACATGTTATACTAAATTTTATAAAAATTTAATAGTATTAGAGCTAATCGGGCAGAAAATTTATTTATTTTTAACATATGCTCGTATTTTAGATTAAATGATGGTCTACTTCTGGTTTATTCCATTAAGATTACTATGAATAAAAAAGTAAACAAAATTACATGATTGGAGAGTTAAAGCTTCCTGCTAGGGTTCAGAGCACAGGAAAAAAATTGAGCATGCCTATATAGGCATGCCTCTGAGCTAAGGCATGCTCCTCATGCCCATGGGCATGCCCTTTTTAATCATGTGATTAACATATAGTTTACAACTTCTTAAAAATCTCACATGTTGTTTTACCTGAACTTATTAGTCAATTAAAATAACTTTGAATATCACATGACAAGGGCATGCTCTTTGGACTTGAGATATGCCTATGGGCATGCCCTAAAGGCATGCTTTTAGAGGCATGCTCCATGCCTCTATGCTCTAAACCCTACTTCCCACATTATACCAGTTATTGTTATAAAACTTGTTTATCTTTTATAATATATATAGTGATATATGATTTTAATTATTAATGCAAAAAACAATACTTTATATTACAAATATATTTTTTTCTTTGTTATCTACTCCTGTATATATCAACCAAATTGTTCAGATCCAATAAGTTGATATTAACAAGAGATGACTATATTTAATTGTAAAATAGTATAGTCAGGAATTTTATTATATTTTGGTTATTGATGATCATATCTTATTTAGTAATGATCATTATTCAGAAAATTCTAGCTTTTTTTCAAATTGTTCTACGTATAACAATAATAAACTAATCAAATTAGAAAATCTATATTAATCAAAATGCAATCAATGTTAAATATAACTTCTTTCTAAATGCAACTCTAAGTTCTAACTAAAGTATATATTTGGTCTTTATAAATGCCATTTTTCTTAATTGTTCTTTAATTGATAATCCACTTATGAACTGGAGAATAAGCGAAATGAGACGTCTGCTATCTAAAACTTTTTTCTTACAAGTTAACAATATATGCTTACTAATTGAAAGTTGTAGAGCTCGTCAAGACGTATCTAATGGTGGTTAGATCATCCAAATCGGCCTAGTAGATAGCAAGATATTGTCAAAATACGATTGGCTGACTATATAAAAATCTGTGACAGAAATTACATATGAAAATCACTATCGGCAAAACGTGGCATGCTTGCTCCTATCTAAAACTTTTTTTCTTACTAAGTTAATTGCTCTTGTGTATTAATTGAAAATTGTAGAGCTCCGAGCTCTACAATTTTCAGTTAATACACAAGAGCAATTAACTTAGTAAGAAAAAAAGTTTTAGATAGGAGCACGCCACATTTTGCCGATGGTGATTTTCATATATAATTTCCGGCACAGATTTTTATATAGTTGGCCAATAATATTTCGATGATATCTCACCATCTACTAGGCCGATTTGGATGATCTAACCACCATTAGATGCGTCTCAATGAGCTCTACAACTTTCAATTAGTAAGCATGTATTGTTAACTTGTAAGAAAAAAAGTTTTAGATGGCAGACATCTCATTTCGCCTATTCTCTAGTTCATAGACAGATTATCAATTAATTGCATACTGCCAAAAGTCTGGCTTAATAAATTACACTTATAAAAAGTTAACTGTAAAGAATCTTTTAATAAAAAAAATCTAGTAATAAGAAAATTATTATTAATGTTTACAATGCCAAGCTTCTGTCCTCTATACTTAAACATATTTTAGTAAAAATATATATTAGATTATAAGATTGAAGAAATGTTTAGGGCTGTAACATTTATTACATAATATTTTTTTATTAAGAGGGTTATTCTCCTCCCCTCACATCATATCATATCATATATAAAATATATATATGATATTATATTCAGCTACTTCCCTCTCTTCCTAAAAATATTATGTAATATTTGTCAACGCTCTTACAAATAGCGATATATAATTATAAGAATTTTTATTATATAAATGCATTTTTTAATTAAAAACTCGAACTTAAAAATTCTATATTATTATATTTAAAAGATCATTTTACATCATATACAATATTAAATAATTTTTTATTTATGCCTACAAATTTATATAAATACACTGAATAAAATTAAAGTAACTTTGACCAAAATATATTAAATTAAATATAAATGATAATGCTCTTTCTCCTCACTAGTACTACTATAATCAACTCTTTCTATAACAAACTGACAATTCTGAAGTCTATATTCATTTTATACCAAATAGATATACTGAATATTTAATTATGAAGGCAATTAATTGTAATTATTTGATCTTAATTAATTAGTTGTATAGCTACAATTAATTAATTAATTGCAATTTTGCCAGAGTGTAATAAAACATATTTAAAAATAGATATCAAAATTTTGTAATTTAAAAAATGATCTAATATATAATTGAATAAAAAAGGAGAATGCCTATTTTTATTATAGAAATTTGTTATTTCCATCATGCTTTTTACGTAACTTTTAGTTATATAAATATAACAAATATATTGTTATGATAAATTATATCAAAATGGCGAAAATAGTAAATTTTTATAATAGAAATAGGTGTTTCAAGCTATTAAGTGATCTTTTTAATATAATTGATTGTGATTTGCAATTAAATTTTTGATATCACTAATATTAAAATTTAAAATTTTGAATTAATTGATAATTTGCCAATCAATCAGAGAAAAACTGCAAATTTTTATAGTAAATTTTATTATTAAGCTAAATGTGGAATGCACCAATCTAAAACTTTTTTTCTTACTAAGTAAACCACTCTTGGGCTTATAACAAAAGTTGTAAAGCTTATTAACACACATCTAATGATAAAAGAAGATTAAAATTAGCCTAGTAGTTCTTAAGAAATCTTTAAAAAATGTTTTGCTAACATATAAAATTTCTTTAAAAAAATTTATTTTTTTTAATAGGCAAATCACGAGTTATCTAAACAAAATATTTTTTTTTATATATAAATTTTACTATAAGTGCGAATGTAGAGCGCACCTATCTAAAACTTTTTTCTTACTAAGTAAATTACTCTTAGACTTATAACAAAAATTATAGAGCTTATCAAGAGGCATCTAATGGTAGTAAGAATATTAAAATTGGCTTGGTGGTTTTTGAGAAATCTTTAAAAAAAATTGATTTTTTTTAAAGAAATTTTATATATGAGAAAGAAGTTTTTTAAAGATTTCTCAGGAACTACCAAGCCAATTTTAACATTCTTACTATCATTAGATGCTTCTTGATAAGCTCTACAACTTTTGTTACAAGCCAAGAGTGATTTACTTAGTAAGAAAAAAAGTTTTAATAGGTGCGCTCTACATTCACACTTATAGTAAAATTTATATATAAAAAAAAATATTTTGTTTAGATGACTTGTAATTTGTCTATTAAAGAAATTTATATATTATCAAAATGTTTTTTAAATATTTTTTAAAAACCACCAAACTAATTTTAACATTCTTACCACCATTAGATGTGTCTTGATAAGCTTTACAACTTTTGTTATAAGCTCAAGAATGATTTACTTAGTAAGAAAAAAAGTTTTAGATTGGTGCACTTCATATTTTACTCAATAGTAAAATTTACTTATAAAAATTTGCAGATCTTTTTTGGTTGACTGGCAAATCACTAATTAATTATATAAGTGTTATTAAAAAAACTAGACAATTTAAAGATAAGATATACAAATTTCTAATTTCATATAAAATAGATTGTAGATCAACTTTGTGTAACTAATTTTATATAATATCATATGATTTATATATAAATATTATATAATTTAACTAATTAAAATTAGCAATTTTTTGTATTACTTAGGAAAAATATATAGCAATCTAGGAAAATTTATTATATATGAAGTTGATTTTTTTTAAAACAATACATATTCTAAAACTTCACTAATATAAACAAACTAGTTTAAACTATATATTATTTAAATTTAATAAAAATTAACTACCGTATACCCGTGAAATAATGCTCACTGGCATTAATTTGAAATTTGCCACCCTAAAAAATGCCATATTTGATTCGAAATAACGCACATGCGCTTCTCGAAATAACGCGCACCCAAGTAAATCATCGAATAAATCGATTTGCTATAATCAGGATTTTCAATTTATTCGATTTTAACTTATTTAACTTTTTTTCTTTTTAATATCTAATTTGCTTTATAAAAATATAATGAAGTTTAATCGTATCGCATTTCTGGAATATGTGACAGGTTAGTCAACTCCCTGTCTAACTATCATGGCAGCATAAAAATTAAACCTAATGGTTCCAAATAGTATATTATTTTTCCAGCTAACCTGTTACGGATTTCAGAAATGCTAGCGTATCCATTTTATGTTAACTAGGGTTGCTGAGATATTTTTATTACTAATATCTAATCTCAAAAATTTGCGAACTAAAATTTAGTAAAGATAGGTTGTATACATTATTAATAGTTAAAGCCAAGATTTACTTTTAAAATACAGTATAATTTGTTATAAAAAGCGAAGATAAATTTGCGCATTTTTTTTTTTTTTTGCTTATTCAGTTTGAACTGCGCATCACTTTTAATCTAAGGATAAAGAACAGGAGCAGACTTTTTTTTCAACACTTAAGCATACATATAATCAAGAAAAAAGGCTCAGCTATAGTTGCCATTTCCAAACTTTTAAAGTATCACTTTAATCAATTGAAGTTTTACTTAGAAGAATAATAATAACCAGGGAAGTGTCATATTTGCTATCCATCTATAAGAAAGATGAGGCTCTGCTTATATACACAACAATAACCAGAATTAGCATTGAGAGTAGCATAATCAAAGTTCTTTAAATTGCTTTTTCAAAATTTTGTGATTATAAATTTTATCGTTAACAGAAAGAATTACGGTTTTGACAAATCTATTATTGTGAATGATTGGCTAAAATTAATATCAGCAAAAAATAAATAAAAATAAAAATTAAAAATAAAAATAAAAAAATAAAAAAATAAATTTACTTACTTATGTCAATTTACATTACTTCATCGCATCGATATCTATTGTGTCTATATCCAACACTTTATGATCTGCTATATTTTTAGCGCCTAGCTTATCGTCAGAATCCAACTCACCTCTTGAAAATATATCTTCATCTTTGCCTTCATATTCATTGTTTTCTTCACCTTCACCTTCATCATTTTCTTCACCTTCGCCTTCATTATTTTCTTCACCTTTGCCTTCATCATTTTCTTCACCTTTGCCTTTATCATTTTCTTCATCTCTGTCATTTAACAATTCATTTACATCGTTTATATAGTTTTCAACTATAGCCTGAAGACGGCTTGACATCTTAATGTTTTCGCTATCATCGGGGTTGAGCACAAGTCCAGTCATTTCAAATGATTTGGCCAAAAGATCTTTACTAATTTCCTTCCAAGTTTCAGATACCCATTAGCAAATAAGTGCATATGAGGCTTTTTTATAGGCTCCTTTTTTGGTAAATTTTTTTTCACCTTCATCAATCCATTCATTCAACCTTTTTTTCATTCCACTTTTAAAAGGTTTATTTACTGAAACATCTGGTGGTTGCAAAACACAAGTCATTCCTCCAGGTATTTCCAAGACATCCAAACCTTCTATATTTAACGCCTTAACTACATCACTATGAACATGACTACAATGATCATCAGCAAAAATTAAACCTTTGCTTTTAAAAAATCCTTCTGGCCTTGCACGTATAACTCATGGAATATAAGTAGAGATCATTAAGTTCGTCCGCATATTTGCACAGGGAGCTGTTGTTAAAACTACATTTTGCGGAAATTTACCTTTGGGTTTCTTTTTTAGCTTAAAAATTACTGACAGCAGAAGCTTATCCCCAGAAGCTATATAACCTAGAACTACTGTGAAATGTAGCTTGTCATTTCCTGTACTTCTAATTACCACCTCACGAACACCTTGAAAATCAAAAATTGAACTCTGGGGCATGTTGAACCAAACTGGTGTCTCGTCAAAAGAAATGATAAATTTTTTTTCTATATTTTTTGTTTTTTCGTATGCAACCTGAAGAAAGTTACTAACAATTAAGGGCGTATCTTTGGGAAACTTTTGTGCAACTTGAGTTCGAATGTGTGTTACTAAATCATGCCGCTTTCTAAACCATTCAATCCATCCACGAGAGAACTTTGCTTCAATACCTAAATCTTTCCTCAACTCTTTTGCCTTTTTTTCAATCATATGAGTTGTAACAGCAATTTTTTCATTTCGTTTTTGCTTGATATAATCTAATAGATCCTTTTCCAAATCAGGATATTTTGCCTTTCAACTGTGACCTTTAAGGACACGTACTTTATCTATACTTAATTTTGTATTGTTTTTAACAGCTTCTAAGTCTAACTTTTGTTTTCGCCACTCTTGAACCCTTTTTTGATCGATATTGTAAAATAATGATACCTTACGATTAGACGTAGACTCCGCAAATAATACTACTTCAAGTTTGAATAAAATAGTGTAGCTTTGTTTTTTGTTCGCGTTCATTCGTAAAAGTAAAAAATTGAAATAAAAATTCAGAATCAACATTTGACATGCATACTTAAATAGAATTCATGATGTGTTACAAAAAATTATAATTTATACCTGGACAATCATTAATTATGAAAAATTGAGTTTTTGATCAATAAGGTTCATTGCAGGATAAATATAACAAGACCAGAAACTATTGATTTGACGATGTATCTAATAGAACAACTCAAGTTTAATTTACAATACAAAAAAATCCAAACCCAATTATCGAGCCGTTAGGGCATAACCCTAGAGCCGGTGTTCTGCTCAAGGCAATTGGGTGCACCTTCATACAGCAACAATGGATTCAAAAAAAAACAAAAAATAATATGGTGGTAATTCAAAGAAAAAACATAACGAGAAAAAAAAAGTCTAAACCCAATTGCCAAGCCATTAGGATATAACCTTAGAGCCGATATCTTGCTCAAGGCAATTGGGCACACCTTCATACAGCTTGTATTCATAACAATTAATTCAGGGAAAAAAAATACTATGAAGGTAAATTCAAAAAAAACATAATGAGAAAAAAAAAGTCCAAACCCAATTGCCGAGCTGTTAGATATAACCCTAGAACCGATGTCTTGCTCAAGGCAATTGGGCATGCCTTCATACAGCTTGTATTCACAATAATTAATTCAGAGAAAAAAAATTACCATGAAGGTAAATTCAAAAAAACATAATGAGAAAAAAAAAGTCTAAACCTAATTGCTGAGCCGTTAAGTATAACCCTAGAGCTGAAGTCCTGCTTAAGGCAATTGGAGTACACCTTTGTACAGCTTGTATTACAAGTATTCACAACAATGAATCAGGAAAAAAAATACTATGGAGGTAAATTCTAAAAAAAAATAACAGGAAAAAAAGTTCAAACCCAATTGCTAAGCCATTAGGGTATAACCCTAGAGCTGATGTCTTGCTCAAGACAATTGGGCATGCCTTCATACAGCTTGTATTCACAACAATTAATTCAGAGAAAAAAAAATACCATGAAGGTAAATTCAAAAAAAACATAATGAGAAAAAAAAAAGTCCAAACCCAATTGCCGAGCCGTTAGAGTATAACCCTAGAGCCGATGTCTTGCTCAAGGCAATTAGACACGCCTTCATACAGCTTGTATTCACAACAATTAATTCAGGGAAAAAAAAATACTATCAAGGTAAATTTAAAAAAAACATAATGAGAAAAAAAAAGTCCAAACCCAATTGCCGAGCCGTTAGATATAACCCTAGAGCTGAAGTCCTGCTCAAGGCAATTAGAACACACCTTCGTACAGCTTGTATTCACAAGTATTCACAACAATGACTTCAGTGAAAAAAATACCATGGAGGTAAAGTCAAAAAAAAAAAATAACAGAAAAAAAATCCAGACCCAATTGCTGAGCCAATGTCCTGCTCAAAGCAATTGGATACGCCTTCGTACAGCTTGTACTTAATATTTTTTTTAGTATGATTCTCATGGGTGGATACTTTTTTTACGGTTACTCTATCTGGAATTCTAAATCTTTTTCCTTCAACAAGAGATACTAGGCATAATAAAATAGCTAAAATTAACTCCAAGGTCAAAGTAAAAAGCTTATCTGCCCAGAAGACTTTAGGGAAAATACATATCATGGAAGTAAAATAAAAAAAAAAATAACAGGAAAAAAAAGTCCAGACCAATTGCCGAGCTGTTAGAGTATAACCCTAGAGCCAATGTCCTGCTCAAAGCAATTAGGCACATCCTTGAATATGAATAAACGGTTTAATATTCAATGCACTTCATGATTTTAGAGAGACGTTTTAATTAAAAAAAAAAAAATTTAAACAAGAAAACTCGATTATATATACAAGAATTTTTTATCGCTGACTAATGATGATGCAACTTACAGCCCATTCATGTGAATTGCATCAGATTGCTTCCAGAAAAATGTCAAATCTTTACCAGTTTGCTTATAGGATTCAAAAAATATTCATTACGAAAAGTTTTAAGTAGTTCTGTTTTTAAACAGATTTACTATATAATAAGACTTCAATACTTCGATACTGATTTAGTATTGGGCCATAAACATGAAAGATATTTAGTACCAATGAAAAATAAGACTTATATATGTACGAAAGGGCGCAAGACTTTATTAAATAGTAAGAAAAATGCAATGCTTTAGTGCAAGTGTACAAGAAAACCGATTTAAAATATAGCACAGTCTTCCCAAAGAGTTTTCCCAAATTGTAACTCTAAGTCAAAAGTATAACCAATGTTTGAAAGAGTTTTTTTTTGTTACTGATCTATAACTAGGGATGTGAACGACTTAATCGACTCTATTCATTAATCAGTTTTTATAATAATGAATATACAAGCTGAATTAAGCCGTTAGCATCCCTATCTATAACCCTGTTTTACCAGTATATCTTTACTATTAGACTCAAATTGGCTATGATACAAAATGTAGTAATTATCGCTAACTCTACTGCTACAGAATGTCGTAATTATTATTAAAGTTTAAAATTTTTAATTTATACTATATGATAACAATAAGTTAACGCCTCTCTACTTATTTTATGCAGATACATCTAATCCGGTTACCAATCGCACAATTATTTTTTGTATAAATCTTGTTTATTTTGAAGCCTATTTACTGTTATATAAATTTGGTTTTAATTACCCATGCGCGTTATTTTGAAAATGCCTATTTCAAAAAATCAACTTTCTATTTCGAAATATCGCACGTGGGCGTCCTGAAATAACGCACAGGTAAATAAATTAACGTGCAGAGGTGCGTTATTTTACTGGTATACGGTAAGATGTTAAAAAGTTTTATTAAAAGCATTTTTTATTTATTATATAAAATCTAATATACTATACAGATCATATGAAAAATGATCTATGTATACCCTACCCTTAAATATAAATCATATTTAAATTGTTGATTTTCTTTTAGCAACACTTATATCCAAAATTAACTATATCACAAGTATTTATATAACTAATTCTGAACTTTTAGCACAGTCAACATTATCATATTTATTTTTTGAATTAAATAATAATTTTATCTCTTTTAATATAATTAACAACTCATTTCATTTTTTAAGTTTAAACCTACAGTACTGCTTCTGAATACTTTCGCTTATCTGTTCTAAAAAAGCCTCAATTTTGGCAATTATTTCTACTTTTTTCATATTTGATTCTTCTTCTTGTACAGTTTCTTCCTGCTTAATAATTAAAATTAGCCCATAAAAAGGATCAGAACTATTATTACAAAAAAATTTAGTAATATAATCTATTTGAACTTGTTTTGTTAAAGCCAAAAAATTTGTTAGCTTTAAACTTAATTCATATCCTTCTAAATTTTTACAGATCATTCTTGATTCTAAAGGGCCAATGAAATTATCTTTTCTAAGGTATATTCTAATCTCTAACATTCTACAATTGATTTTAGTTATATCTTTAGATTGGTCACTTGAAGATTATTATACTCAATTAACTGAAAAAGTTGCTTCTTAACTAAAAAATAAAATAAATTAAATAAATAAAATTAAATTAGAAAATTAAAATTGTTTAAAATAAAATAAATAAAAATATTTTTTAAAAAAAATTAAATTTTAACAAATTTAATATAATAAATTATTGGGATGTGACAACTTAGTGAAGTTGGCAAGTTGTTGCATCTCCAAGCAGCAGGACTAAAGTTCAAATCCCACCGGTGACGAAAATTCAAATTATAGAAAATGTATTTAGAAGACTATATTTTATTGGATTGTAGAACCTA